GTTCAAGATCATAGAACATCTTATGAACAGATCATATGGAGAATTGAATCTGAAATGGTTCAAGTGAATAAAAGAACGTTAACTCATGGAATCAAAATTCAATTTGCACGATAAACTCATTTATCGAGCGTGTTCAGCTACTAGAAATTATCTAGTATATATAGTTTTTTTGAGTGTTTGGTTGTTTTATTCTGATTCGATGATTCAAAGTGACCATGAAGGTCAAATTTCGTTCATTATGTTCATTACTGACCAATCATGGTGGTGGAATATCTGATCGTTATTCAATATTGTTCTATCTTTTGAGAACCTGAGCTGGAGTTTATCCACGGTTGATTGATATTCCTGACGCCTGTTAATCAAACTGCTCTTGAATGTGATTAACCGTGCTTTGTAATACACGGTTGATTAAGTTGCTACTCAAAAATACGAAGAAGCAGTTTGTTGCCTGCAAATACCTCTTTATAGACTGTCAATGGTGTATTGTTTCTATTTGATTGATTCAAAACAAAATGACACAAACTGTTTAGATGGGAATTCAGCATTTACACTTTTACACTTGAATTTCATTGTAATAAAACTTCTGTTAGACGATTTCATCATAGTTCAATAAGAAAATATAACTTCTAAACGAAGTCCTATTCATTTTGTCTGACCAACATAATAATGACGACTGTAAGAATGTTTTGACTTTTCTGTATTGACATGTAGATAACTGTATACAAACAGAAAGTTATAAGAAATTAACAGATCTATGTGGATGTAGATTAGATCACATCAGTCCATTGAAAACAATACTTTGCTCAATTTGTATTGAAATCTAAAAAGAAGCAGAGCTGTAGTAGTAGTCTGTGATAAAAATAGAGCGGTTTACAAAATTGCCAAATACATTGAAACATATTGAAGTGGAGTTCACTGGAAATGAAGTGGAATGAGCTAACGTGGACATTGCATATTTAAATGCTCTGAGTATGTAGAGTAATTTAATCCGTTCACTTCCCTGGAGAGAAAGACCAATATGCACAAAATGTACAAATAATGATGAGCTGAATATAACCCGATAGTTATTCCTGGAGAATTTCTCCAAACCTATATCAATTGACATAGCTAATTAGTGATAATCAAAGCGTGATATTGTTTTGCGTGGTTTCAGTCTCATATTGAATATCACTGACTGTTTTTTGTTTCACTTGTATTTCACCTACTCCACTCTGATCACGTAGAAACTCATCATTCAAATCACTAATTTACTCGAGACCATAATATATTTGACGACAAGAAAGTGTAGCTGAATCAATGCAGAACATAGCACTATACTCGATGAACTGTACCTCTTTGATCGGAATACAACAAGTTACCCTCTCGTCCTCTTGAAACGGTTCACACTGAGGATTGTACCTTGACGATTCAAACGCGATTATATGATTGAATATTACTCAAAATCAGTCTATCTATTTCAGTTCTTCTAATCTACCATGTGTGTTTGCACAAAACAATATTTTTCTTAAACTAACACTAATGAAAGAAAAATGATGATCATTATGTGAGTGTGTGATATGCCAATATCTGTCTGTCAACCTCATTTGTTGTTTGTAGAAATGTCAATAATCATACGTGTTGTTATTTATCACCGTATTTTATCTTAATCATCAGGTTATCTGATGTTCTCTATTTACTTTGAGTAAAGAAAGGAATGTCGCTTTCTAATGATTCATTCATATGACTGACAATCACTGACAAACACACAGCAGAAAGATGAATAAAAGTCTCATTCTGCAGTTAGTCATTATTTTCTAATGAGTAAGTTAATGACAATTAGTTTATCATCCTCTTAAAGAATATTTGGCACCAGCCATCATTAATCACAGAAAATATTTACCAGCTTATTTCATATAGTCGTAGTGGTTCTAATCTTACCAACTTCCCAAATTTGTGGAACTGTGGAACTCTCATCAATAATCTGGATACATTTAGATTTGACTGGTTGATACTTTTCATGGTTATCCGATGTCAGACTGTAAATAATCATCATCTTCATCATCATTTTAAACTCCACATCACGTTCAGTGTATCGTTGTATTTCTGTCACTGTCATAATTCTATATAATCGGTTTTCAATTAGTCCAGGATAGTACACAAAATATTCCATTTGTGACCAATGAGACATAAAAATTGACATAGTGATTAACCATATTTAATTACTTAACCTAAACAATCATAATTTTACTTAGAATCCTTCAGAAATATGTACTTTCTAATGATGAATGAGTGAAATTATCACAGTAAGGAAATTTGTTACTGTTTGAAGGAGAAACCACATAGAATCTCAATCATCATGTGCTTAATAGTGAGTTAATTTTTATGGCAGTCATTCTCACAGTTCCAATGAAACACAGTTACCGGAAGAATAGCCCAGTAATATCCGATGTGAGACTTATATCATCAATCACAATAAATGATACCCGAGGTTAGTAACAATAAGCTATTCGATTCAAACCCAGTGAGCTTTCAGCACTCAGTAGCTAAGTGGATAACGCGAATGATACCAGGTTCGAGTTTCATAGTGAACATCAACTCTGAGTTGCTGTCACATCCAACTGACGAGTTCCGAATAGGACGAAACACGCGTCAAACTGGATACCTCTACTAGTCACTATCCATCTTTGCTTAAATAAGTAATTGGCTTGTGAAGAAGAATAGATTGTAGTGACTTTGTCTCATTTGAGAAGTGTTAGAAGTGTCTGGGTGAAAAGAAAGTAAAATAATACGGAGCGAATAATATAAATGCAACACCTAAACTCATCTAAAATTCACTTAATTAATCGAACAATGTTTGTCTTTTCTTACTTCATATTGATATAGAAAACTTGAGCAGTATCCAATGCTGTGTTAACCCAGTCTTTAGCGTTGAATAAATACGACTAACGCTTAAGCAACTATATATCAAGTGGACAAAAATGGAATATTATGTGGTTGGAGGTAGTCTTTCTTAAGTCTGTGCGACGTCTGGATAGCTCAGCTACGTGGTTACGTTTTGAACTATAAAGCTGGATGAATTGGTTCGAATCCTCAAAGGAACATCAATACCCTCAAGAATATAAATATATCTTACTGATGAGTGTTAAATAACATGAAACGTAATTGCGTAGTTATCTACTAACTACCTTCAACTACTTAACATTCATATTTCTTTATTATATTTATGGAATCGGAATGAATGTTCTTCATTATGAATGAATGAATCATTATTAGAACACGTACTACTAAGTATTAAATTTGTCTCACATTGTTCCTACTCGGTCCCTTTCCACTCCTTTATATATTGTATTTTATATTACTTATTTACATTCAGTAGGCAGTTGTATTCCCAAAAATCTTGACACTTATGTTGTAACGCAAGTTGTACTGTATTATTCAGAAATGTTCACAAATACTTATGACGTTTATTGTACTTATCATTGTATTTATCATTATCATTACTGTACCTTAATCACTGTATAGGCTATCCACAGTTTCGTGCATTTGTTTAAACGTAACAGTTTCCATAATGTTTCGCTCTTGATTCAGATTTTCATTGTTCATATACTGTTATCAAATTTAAACACAGCTATCAACTGTCCTTTGTACTATCGTATGTTGTAATTATTCTTTATGTTACTGTTACTGGAAGCCTTTTTATTTTCGTACTTGAAGGACGTGTTTAAACGCTCCAGACACCTCACAAGTTGAGGTTTGTAATTAGAGAAATCGTTGTTTTGGAAACTTCGGTTTTGTGCGTATCTCAACCGAATGAGTTCGGCGCTTCGATAGATCTAACATTGAGGACGTTTTATTGGCTCCATTAAAAGTGTAATTATTATGTGTTACATCGTGATACAACAATTAGAATCGTCATAAATTTACCTTTCCAATCATAGATATCAATAGGATAGTAATTCAAGTTCACAATATACGGTTTGTCAGTAATTAATTGATTGATGTACAATATGTACTAATTGTGGCCAGCTCAGTTATTCATAAGTTAAGTGTTCACACACGAAGTCGAAGACCCTGGTTTCTAATCACATGTGCAGGATCGTCGATGCACATTATTGATGAACCTCAGATTTTCACAATTGATTGACTACTGGGTGGCGATCAATGTCATGAGTGTCTAGTCCTTATTATTGCAGACCGAATTCTATCGATCATGTTGCAATGTGGCCACCAATCTAGATGACTCGACACTGCGGGCACTATATGTTGAGATTAGATGGTGGTTGGAGGTAGTCGACAGGAAACCCTGTACACGGGTTTCGTGCTATTTGGAACTCATCAGTAAGATGTACCTGTAATCTCGAGGAAACTTATGCTCCCTGGCGGATTTGATTTCGTGTCACCCAACTTCATAATCAGAGACGTTACCACTGGGCTATCCAAGCCGCGACTGACCTCCTGTGAGACTGAGATGTAATCACAATTGATTGATCACTGAGTGGCGATCAATGCCATGCATGTCTAGCCCTTAATAGTGCAGACCGAATTCTATCGATCATGTTGCAATGTGGCCACTATAAAGATCTTTGACGAATTATTGATTTTTGTGTATAGTTTTGAAATGCATTAAAGCTTATAGACAATATATTGATACATCGTTTTTTTATTAAACGTCTAACAAACTGATTTTACTACTCCATTATATTCTACGGAATTCCTCTACTCTGATAATACTATGGTGAGTGTTACTGATCTGGATAGATATAAGTAGTATGTGTCATCAATCGAAAGTCACAACATCTAACGGTAGAAAATCAAGAAGATCGAAGCAAACAGGACAAGAACAAAGAATGATTGATGTAGCAACGAAAGAACAATGAAGTTGAAGACAATTGATTGATATTTTGTAAATAAGGCATTATTTTCTTAATGTATAGTTCTCAGATATTACCAAGGGATTGCGTAATTCTGTATTGAAATACATTTGATTGTTCCGTCTCGTGTGTTCCCATTCACTATAATAG